CTTACTTTGTCTAAGTAGGTGATATTTTCTTTTGTGTGGTTACACTCATGTAACAGAAATTAAATTTCATAAAGTAGATTTTCTCAAAGGAGTAAGCTTAGAAAGTGTTTGTTCTAAATTCATATTTTTAAAACAATGTTTGCTTTTCTGTAATGCTAATATTGTTTTACTAACTACCCTACATTGATAGAAATGTACATAATTATTTATAATTCCAACTTGGTACAAATTTCTTCTAAACTCATTAATATTAATGGAAGTTGATAAGGTACAATATTTCTTGAGATGAAAGTATCCTTTCTCCCCAGCTAACTAGTGTTTATCAAAGCCTGTATTCTGCCTGCCCTTTGAATTCATATCTTTCTGAATACAAATAAGTTTCCATATTTCTGAACCATGTCAAGGTGATGGAAGGTTTTGAAGGCTGAAAAAAGGGGGAAAGGTTACTGTGAAATATTACGTTTGTCATCATAATTGCAAAATAAGTCATTAATTGCAAGACAAGCACATTGGGTTAGTGACATAGTTCATGATTATTTCCATTAGGAAGAAGAAGCTCTGTCTCAAGTGAAATAATTTAGACCAAAGAACATGGAATATGAATACAGTATAAATAAAATATTAATAGATTTCTTAATGGTGATTTCAAAGCAGCAACATTAAAAAAAAAACAGGCAAGAATGTTCTAACAACAAACAGCTTACTATCTTGGGAATATCTTAGCCAAATTATGAGGTGGTAAACTCATTTCATTTTCAAAATATTAAAAAAGATTTATAAATTTTGTCACCCATTAAAAATCCATTGAGGATGCAATTCAGTAAATGACTTTGACCTGACACTAAAAAAGCTCATATAAACATATGAATATCTTTCTTTGTGACATGTTGAAAGGGTGGATGTTGTGGCTTGGATCTCATCCTATGAAGCTCTTGCTTGTTGGAGGGCACAGCAATATGTAAAAAGATAATCTAAAGGAGAAATCTAATATAGTTTTTGAATATTTTGAGGTCTCAGTAAATATATATGTAATACTGATATTAATGATAATTATAAAATAAATAATTAATTTGGACATTCTTAAAATTAAAAAAAAATATTTTTCCAAGGCAGGAAAGTGATAGGTTAAGAATTTAAATTTTAGTATTTTCTCTGATATATGGTCTTATACTTTTAATAGATAATACTGTTTTGCTCAATAAATACTTTGATGCATTAGAATTTGAATTATTATTTGAATCATACATTGCTTTCAAATTACTCCTTTGAAACCAAAAACTCTATTTCTTAATTTGAAACACACTTCAGAAAGTTCTACATAAACTAATATAACGTTTTTAACTTTTCTTGATTTGTGACTTGTCAAAAATCTGGTGAAGAAAGATCTTTTATTCTCAATATATGTGAATTAAAATCTTTGAGTGAAAAATGTTAGGCTCCAACCTTTCTACTGATTCAGAATTCTAATCATTATTTTAAAATTAAGAATTCTATACATTCAAAAACTATTTATTGATATAATAATTGAATTTTTGAAGAAAGTTTAAATAAGTATTTTTTTCCAACTAAAATGTATTGGTTAAATATCTCTATGCTTAATAATCCATCCATCACACTGTATTTTATGCAGCAAAATCTCTGAAGGAAGATATCAGAAAATTGTGCACAGTAGAACCATAACTATTTTGGCAGGATTAGGCCTGAATATCTAACTGATCGCTAAATCCAAATAACAATCTCCTTAGTCATATTTAAATATTTGCAGAGATAGCCAAATCACTGTCTTTTGTAGCAGACTTTCATTTTTGAGCATTTCCTACTTCCTTTAGTTTAAATGATGTCAAAATTTGTCAGAAACTTCTAATCATTTTCCCTAATTCTTCCTTTTCCAGTCAAATGAAACAAATTCAACGCTCTTTCACAGGGCAAATCTCCAAATATTTAAAGATAGTTTTCACATTTCCAATAATGATTTACTTTCTAGACCCCAACTCATTAGTTGCTTTAGTGTATCTTATAGAATTTCAAGTCCTGTTACAATCTATCTAGTCTCATCTGAATACCTTCTAATTTGTTTATGCCTCTCTCAGTGAGATTATTATTGTGAATAAAATTTCCTACAAGTAAATATAAACTTAAAAAATAATTTAGTACAATATAAAAGACATAGTATCCAAAAGCCAAATAAATACAGATGATTAAATACTTATCTACTTAATTAAATGCTTTGATGTTCTTCCTACTCAACAAGTTTAATCCCTATGAAATCACCGTTTATGAGTCATATCAGGTTTTGTATGGATGTTTGTGTGCAAAGCTTGACCCATATCATCAGATATTTGCAAATACTTAGCTATTTGTGGCCATAGGTTTGCAGATGAGGAGTGGAGGATAAATGGCTTCTGATTAAGAATTTGAAATTGTAGAGGATGACCAATGAATTTGGAAAAGAACACTATTCCCCTGAGATGAAGTATTCTTCCAAAATGAACACTCTCCCCTTAAATTCTAGAATATTCTGCCTCTTTCTCCTTCCCTCTTCCTCCCTTGACATTACTTGTAGAATTATTTGAACACTGAGCTTCAGGTGTCTGGGTGAATTTTCCTTCTAATAAACTGATAATGTAAAATCAGCTAGATGGAGATATTATTTTAAGGGAAAACAAATCTTTCTCCAGATAATACATTTGGGTTTACAATAATGATGTGGTAATGTTGGCACATTGGCATCTCTCCTCTCATTACTGACAGACTTCTATCTCCTCTTCAGCCTGTGATCAGCTGTCTCTTGGGGTGGCTGCCATCTTCGGGCCTTCACACAGCTCTTCAGCAAATGCAGTGCAGTCCATCTGCAATGCTCTGGGGGTTCCCCACATCCAGACCCGCTGGAAGCACCAGGTGTCAGACAACAAAGATTCCTTCTATGTCAGTCTCTACCCAGACTTCTCTTCACTCAGCCGTGCCATTCTGGACTTGGTGCAGTTCTTCAAGTGGAAAACTGTCACAGTTGTCTATGATGACAGCACTGGTAAGAAAAATCAGCAGCCTTTGGGGCTGTGCTTTAAATATAGATAATTTTCCAAAACTCGTTCAATATTTTTACTGCGTTCTTAGTTTTTCTGTTTGTTCTTGTCGTTTTTTGTTTGTTTTTTGTTTTCAAATTAGGAGAAAGGAAGACATTTGAAATCAAACATCAGCACTAATTTCAGACATCCCAACCAAGAACAGCTAAATCATACTTTTTTTTTTCTATATTTGTAAAATAGGCACTTTTGTTCTGGGAAGAATCAGCAACTGTGAGCTTTAATATTGAATGAAGAATAGAGATAGTATGAAATATAATATTGAAATATTTATTCAAATAATTTATCTATGAGTTTCAGGGTAGTTTCCGAAAGTAAAGCCTCGTAACTGGTTGTCACTGGAGTTTATTAAGAAATTCAGACTTTTGCCTTAACATTTTGTATAGCTGTTTATGTGCGAAGAATGGGTATGAGAAGTAATAACCTTTATATCTGTAGAGCATGTTAAAATTTTTTTAACTTTTTCTCAAATTTGAAACAACTTACTACCCATCGAAATACTCAAGAGTTTTGGAAACTATTTATATATAGACATAGTTTAGGGACTTAGAAAATAAAATTTATTAAGTGATGTTATTTCCATGTCTTTAATGAATATTTGCTGGCTGGAGGTTGTCTGTGCTTTCTTGTTTTAATAAATGTTATTATTTTTATATGTGAATGGTTATCCTGAGGTATCAAATAAAAACAGTCTAAAGAAATATAAGAAAATAAACAGTAAAGATAAAGTATTAATTTCCTTGGACGTTATACTGATGAAGGAACTGCATACTATTTTGGTTATTACCTAGTGATAAGGAACTTTACATTAAGATGTTTATCACTGGTCTAAATAGTGTTCTTTAAATTAGAATGTAAAAATATTTTATTCAAGGACGTTTCACTATACCTTCATGTTTACATCAATGCTTAAATTCATTTGAATTTAAATTCTCCCCAAATACTCCAGGAACACATTTTATTTATGCATGCAGTATTTAGAACGGCATGCAAAAATTAGTCCCTTTGTCTGTAAAATTGACCATTTGCAAGTTGACAGATAGGAACTTTCCAAGAAAACAGGAAAAAGGGTGTTACAAGGTTGGAAAAAACAATGTAAATAATTTGAGAAATTAAAAAAATATACATGTATATATTGGGATAAGAAAGAGTAAGTCTAAATACACATTAATAGCATAATTTTGCTTTTCTGATTTAAAAAAGTGAAGTGTTTACAAATAATTTTAGCTTAGAAATGCATCAAAGTCCTTAAAAATAACCTAAATACCTTTGATGTGTTTTTTAGCTTAAATTAGATCTGGTATATTTATTGCATTGTTTTATTCCACATCATTACTTTCCTTTCATTGGTAAAGTTCTCTGTGTCAAATTATGAATGACAGGTTCTGTGTTAATGCTTTCTCTGAGGAAATATAATGTGATGGTACAGGGCATGCTCAGTTACAAATTGGTCCACTTATGTTAATGGATGGTCATATACAGAAATACAGAAATATGAATAAGCATGCATTGTGCATCATGGTTTATTTACTTCTCCTTTCCCTTCTGATGTAATTCAGGTGAACTCTGACTAAATATCATATATCCCCATATGTACATGCACATACACATGATATAAATACAGATATATATTTATACATATATATGTGTGTTATATGTGTGATATTATGCATTTATTTCTTATGGTCTTAAAACTCCTCATAGTAAAAAGAAAGTTGACAAATGTTCATTGTTTATGGGTATACCACCTTTCCTTATTATTCTGTGTGTGGGTGTATGTGTTTGACATTTTTGTTTCATATATGTGGTTCTTGAGTGATTGAATAGGTAATGGGATTTGTGATCAAGGTCACATAGTTTTGTAATGTTTCATATGTAGTCGATCTTTTGCTATAAATATTCTAAATATGTATATAATCGACACGAGTTTAAATAGAGAAATATATATAATACAGTCAGTTAATTAGAGGTATCTACTTTTAATGGAGACTTGATTAAAGATGAAATCTATTAAAATATTTAAGTTACTATTTAAAAGACACTTTACCACTACTACCTCTTTGAAGGGGACATCGATACTTGTAGATTCCAAAAGTCTTTGATTATTTAAATATAAATGCTAACCGAGTGTCATTACAGAATTATTTATAGAATAAATATACCTTAAAAATCCTCTGGGGGGAGAAAAGCATGTTAATGCTTTATTTTATGCAATATTTAATTCAACAAACACTGATTAAGCACCTACTACATGTCAGGGACAGTTATAGGTGTGAGTAAGTGCCAGTAAAAGAAACAAACTCCTGGCCCTTGCTGAGCTTCCACTTTCTATTTAGGGATGTGTGCTTGCTCATGTTTTTAATATTATTTGCAATGAAATAATTACATTTGTAACCAGCCGCTTGTAGTTGCTTTTAACACAATTTTGAGAACTTTCTATTCTTGATTATTTATAGTATAGAACTGACTCTAAGATAAATAAAAAATTCTCTGAAATGTTATCATAAATATAGGAGTGGGCTTTTTTTTTTTGTCTTTTTGGTTATGTTTAAAAGTCTCAAGGTGGAATGTTAATGACAGAACTCAACAGACAGAATTTGTAAACATCCCAAGTGAACAAGATCATGTGGGAGAAAATCTGATGATAGCTGAGACTGTGAACTGAAATGGGAGGAAAAACCCACTTCATACCTAATGAGATAAACATTATTGACTTCATTATGGACTTTCGTGTCTGCTGTTTACTACAGGATGCAGGATGCATTTTATTTATGTTTCTTTTTTCCTTTCCAGATTTATTTATTATGTATGCTATCCCTCCCATTTATATTCATTTCTGTTTTGTTGTGTTGTCCAGTTTGATACATGATAATTATACTTTCATCCAGTCTTTGTTCCCACCCCCAAAACAGATGGGATGATAGATGAAATATAGTGCTGGAGTAGGAGAAGTTCTTAGAATGATGTTAGCAGGAGCTGTTTATTTTTTATGATAATTAGCATTTGTTGTTGTCATGGATGAATGCTTTTAAACACCCTGAAAGTCTGTTATAGTTCTGAATGATGTCCAAAATGATGGAAGGGAATTGGCTTCAGAGACAAAGCTGTGTTTCTGTCAGTCATTTTGGAACATATGATTCATTTTAAATATAAACTAAAAATAAGTTGGCTAGCTGTCAGCTTGTAAGCAATTCCAGGATAAGTTGTGAATATTTGCTTTAAAATCCCTGTGTTTCATCTTTGTTTATAGATCAGCAGTCCATTAACAAAGAACTCTGGACTGGTAAACAGAAGCCTGGAGTTCTATTCCCAGTTTTGTTGCTAAATTACTGGTACAACTTCAGAAAAGAGAAGGAAGGAATTGAAATGACTACAGAAAGCAGATATGATGCACTAGGCATCCAGGTAGCTGCTCTCATATAAACTATTGCAGTTAATCTTCAAAACAATTCTATAAAAATAAAATAATTCTAGGAAAATAGATTATCATCTCACTATTCTTGCTTCCTCCAGTAACTGGCTCTTTTGCCCACCAGCAGCCCAAGACAGAAACTTGAACATCTTCTTTGAGGCTTCCCTTCTTTCAGACACACCATCAAACTCTATTGGTTGTCAATTCTGCACATCTATGAACGCTCAAATCTTACATTTCTTCCATCCTCTTACCAATTCTTAAGTCAGAATTTTTCACCTGGATTATTACTAACGACCTCCTAACTGGTATCACTACTAATCTTGGCTCCCCACTGCTTTTAAAGTAATTTTCAAAAAAGGAGTTCTGATCCATTGCCCCATTAATAGTTTCTTATTGCTCTAAGGATGACGTCCAAACTTTTTTGAAAGCCTCATAAGGCCTGATCTGATGTAGTTTCTATACCTCTCCAGTGATGTCTGTGTCTAGATTTGAGTCTAAATCCCTCACTTAATGTCTTTCAAATTGACCGTTACATCTCTCTCAGTTTCTGAAAAGACTGTTCTGTTTACCTGTTTCTCTCATTCTGGCCCCCACTCCTCCCACTCACTAAACACACACACAGGCATATGTATATTTGCACACACACACACGCATTCATACCATCTGGCTTGGATGTCACAAAGAAAGGCTATCCTGACCCCAACTCCCAAGCTTGGAATGGGTGTCCCCCAACACATCCCCATAGCACTGTGGGAATCCCATGACCCTACCCTATGAGAACATTCATCACATTATAAATGACTGTTCTTGACTGTATTTTCCATTAGATAAAATACACATTTGAACAGGATGGACCCTAAGGCTGGCACCATTCTGTTACCAGCCCCTCCCTAGATATTACCTGGCTCATGGAAATACCTGAATAAATATTTAAGGAGTGAATGCATAAAGAGGTATTATATCCATTGTTTGGACAAAGAAGCTCCAATGGATTAAGTAATCTGCCCAAGGTCAACTTAGGTTAAGTAGCTTTTTAGTACTTGGTATTGAGTAAATAGATTCAACAATAATTTTCAGATAAGTAGACATGATTTCTTCCATTATTTCAAAAATTTTATAAGAAAGCTGGAGTGCACTGTGCTTATATGTTATTTTATGGCAATTAAATATATATTTACTCATTTACTTATTTGAACAGTTATTGTCAAGCATCTTCTGTCTACCAGGTGCTATGTTCAGCACAAGGGACAGTATTATAGGTAAAACTTTGACTATCTCCACGTGCTCAGAGTAGAGTAAGCTGGGGAGAGAACACGTGAGCAGGACACTTATTACTGCGACCAGTGCTGACAGAGACAAGAAAACAATATTGTGGCAGCTTAGGAGAGGAAAGTTTAAAAACTGCCTAGAAAAGGCAGAAGAGAATTTTGGAGAAGGTGACATTATTATGAAGTTATCATAAAGGACAAGTAGAAATTCTTCAACTAGATTAGGGGCCTAAGGGTGCAACACTTGTAAATGTGGGGATGC